GTTGCCGCTGCCCAGCGTGCGTCATGGCAGGCCACTCTGCCTCGGGCACTGACCGTCGCTAGCGCCAGGCACCCGTCTGCGGTCTCCTCCGTTGAGCTTCACCTGGGCAGCAGCAGCAGCGCGCGCGCACAATCGCGGCGGCGGAGCGATCCCCGACAGGGCCGGGGGCGAGTGAGCGAAGGCACCGCCGCGACAACACCAGCGCTGCTTGCTCCGCGCGGGCGAAAGTTTGGGCAGGCGAGGCGCTCGCACGTCGCAGAACTTTTCGGCCGCCACGGCGGCCGCTCGGCCGGCTGCTGAAGAGGCGTGTTTCCACCTCGGGACTCGTTCGCGAGAGACTGGCAAAGCAGCGCGCTCGAGCCGAGCCGAAGGAGCCAGCTTGCCGAGGGGAAGGCTGCGGAGAGGACTTGACTGGGGGAGGAAGGGGGAAAAGGGACCCTTCCCGGTCGAGGAAAGCAGCGGAGCTGTCGGGTGCCGAGCACTGGAGGCGGAAGGGAGGGCGGCTCGGGCAGCGGCCGTCAAGGGTGACTGACCGGCAGGTTTTCTTTGGCCGCAGGAGCCATTTTGGAAGTCGCAAGGTGGGCGGCCGGCAAAAAGTTGGCGTTTGGGACGGCGGGCCCCCCCCGCCCTCCCGCCGGGATCCTCGCCGGGGGAGCCGCGCGGCCCTCCTCCCCCGCGCCCCTCAGCCGCCCATGGACGAGGCCGGATGATCCGCTCCGGCGGGTGGATGGATTGTGTCGCCCTTGGGTCTCGTAAGCCTTGGAGATGCTACGCCGCTGGCCGGTGGCCGCCTGGCTGGCGGGGCTGCTGGCGCTGGTGGTGCCCGCCCCGGGCTGGGAGCTGCGCCTCGCCGGCGGCCCCGGCGGCCCCGGCGCCCCATTGCTGGACCTCTCGCTGGGGCCGGAGTGGCACTACGCGCTGGACCAGACCCTGACGGCCCGCCAGCTGAGGGACGCCGTCGAGGTGACGGGCGACGGGCTGCTGCGGAGAACCGGGAAGCCCCTGGCCTGCGCCTCGGTGGCGCGCAACCCGCTGCCGCTCCACTTGCGCCTCTTCTCCGCCGGCGGCGGCGGCGGCGGCGCGCTCCTCTCGCTTCGCTTGGCGGCTTACTTGCACGGCCCCGGCTGCCCTCGTGCGGCGCCTGCCCGGACGCCGCCTCGCCTCGCCGCCTTCCCGGTCGGGCACCTGCCCTCCCTGCTTTGCCCCTCGCCCTCCCGCCAGACCGGCGGCGGACGTCTCTTCTCCGCCCTCGCGGCCTTGACGAGCTTCCCACAGTGTCGGTGCTCCGACGGCCCCCCCTTGGCCTGCAGCGAAGGGAGGGAAGGGTGCCCTCAGCCCTCTGGGGGAAACCGCCTGTGGCTTCTTTGTCACCTGAGGAGGACCCAGGGGGCCATCCTGGTGGAGCTGGGGCCACTGGAGCAGCAGGTGGCTGGAGAAGAAGGGCAGGAGAAGTTGAGGTTGGGGAGGGAAAGGGAGGGTCCATTTGGGACGGGGAGTGAAGCCAGCTGGGAGTCCTGGCATCGGGGTGCCAGGAGGTTGAGGAGTGTGAACAACCCACCACAGTTCAAGCTGCCCAACTATCAAGTATCGATTGCTGAGAACCAGCCTTCTGGCACCAGGGTCATCACACTGGAAGCTCACGATCCTGATGAGGGGGAGGCAGGCCGACTGACGTATTCCATGGAGGCATTCTTTGACAAGCGGTCTGATGATTACTTCTCCATTGACTCTAAGACTGGAGTAGTGGTCACCTCGCGTAGCCTGGACCGGGAGACAAAGGATACCCACGTGCTTCAAATCACCGCAGTGGACCATGGCTCCCCACGACACCGGTCAGCCACCACCTTCCTGACTGTGACTGTGAGTGACACCAACGATCATGGTCCGGTGTTCGAACAGCCCGAATACCGAGAGAACATCCGAGAGAATCTTGAAGTGGGTTATGAAGTGCTGACTATTCGTGCCACAGATGAGGATGCCCCAGACAACGCTAACTTGCTCTATCGTATCCTGGAGCCTGGTGCTGGAGAGGGAGTCTTTGAGATTGATCCACACTCTGGTGTTGTGAGGACTTGTGCCCCTGTGGACCGAGAGGAGATTTCAGAATATCATCTTGTGGTGGAAGCCAATGACCAGGGCAAAGACCCGGGTCCTCGCAGTGCCACAGTCACTGTACATATCATGGTGGAAGATGAAAATGACAATTCTCCACAGTTCAGTGAGAAACGCTACTTGGTGCAGATTCCGGAGGATACAGCAATAAACAGTCAGGTTCTGCAGGTGCAAGCCACTGACAGAGATCGGGGTGGCAATGCACAGGTGCACTATAGTATTGTGAGTGGGAATCTCAAAGGCCAGTTTTACATCCATTCTTTTTCTGGCTCTATTGACTTGATAAACCCCCTGGATTATGAGACTATTAGAGAATATAACTTGAGGATAAAAGCCCAGGATGGGGGAAGGCCTCCACAAATCAATTCCAGTGGGATGGTCTCCATTCAGGTGTTAGATGTAAATGATAATGCTCCCATCTTTGTAAGCACCCCTTTTCAAGCCACAGTACTAGAGAATGTCCCACTGGGCTACTCAGTGTTACACGTTCAGGCAGTAGATGCTGACTCTGGGGATAATGCCCGCTTGGAATATAAACTCATTGAACTATCTCATCCTTCTTTTCCAGTACCCCCAAGTGGGGGCACTGGTTTTCCCTTCCAGATCAACAACAGTACTGGGTGGATTACAGTATCAGCTGAGCTTGACCGGGAGACTGTGGAGAGCTACCATTTTGGGGTGGAGGCCAGAGACCATGGAGTGCCTGTCATGAGTTCCTCAGCCAGTGTGTCTATTACTGTTCTTGATGTCAATGATAACAGCCCCATGTTTACAGAAAAAGTTTATCAGCTCAGGCTTAATGAAGATGCAGCAGTAGGCAGCAGTGTCTTGACTCTGACAGCAGTGGACAGGGATGTCAACAGTGTGGTGACTTACCAAATCACTAGTGGCAACACAAGGAACCGCTTTGCTATCACTAGTCAGAGTGCAGGTGGGCTGATCACCCTGTCTTTGCCCCTGGATTACAAACAAGAGAGGCAATATGTGTTAACGGTCATGGCCTCAGATGGAACTCTCTTTGACACTGTACAAGTCTTCATCAATGTCACAGATGCCAACACACACCGGCCAGTTTTCCAAAGTTCCCACTACACAGTGAGCGTTAGTGAAGACAAGCCCATTGGCACATCCATTGTAACCATCAGTGCCACCGATGAGGATACTGGGGAGAATGCTAGAATCACTTACGTCCTGGAGGACAACATCCCTCAGTTCCGCATTGATCCTGACATGGGCACAATTACCACACTGATGGAATTAGACTATGAGGACCAAGCTGCTTATACTTTGGCCATCACAGCCCATGATAATGGAATCCCTCAGAAATCTGATACCACCTATGTGGAGATCCTTATCCTGGATGCCAATGACAATGCACCCCGATTCCTTCGTGACCGTTATCAGGGTGCTGTTTTTGAGGATGTGCCACTCTCTACCAGTGTCCTTCAGGTGTCTGCTACTGATCGTGATTCGGGCCAAAATGGTCGCCTCCTTTATACCTTCCAAGGTGGTGATGATGGTGATGGAGATTTTTACATTGAGGCCACATCAGGGGTGATACGGACGCTGCGTAAGCTGGATCGTGAAAACGTGGCCGTTTACAGCCTGCGGGCTTTTGCTGTGGACAGGGGAGTTCCACCCCTCAAAGCCTCTGTGGATATCCAGGTCACAGTGCTAGATATCAATGATAACCCACCTGTTTTTGAGCAGGATGAATTTGACATCTTTGTGAAGGAAAACAGCCCTGTTGGTTCCATTGTGACCCGCATCAGTGCCGTAGACCCAGATGAGGGAACTAATGCGCAGATCATGTATCAGATTGTGGAGGGGAACATCCCTGAAGTCTTTCAGCTTGACCTCCTCAATGGGGACCTCACAGCCCTGATGGATCTGGATTATGAAAGCCAGACAGAATATGTGATCGTGGTGCAAGCTACCTCAGCCCCTCTTGTTAGTCGAGCCACTGTCCACATACGTCTCCTAGATCAGAATGACAATGCTCCTGTGCTACAAGACTTCCAGATCCTTTTCAACAATTATGTCACCAACAAATCCAATAGTTTCCCTTCTGGAGTGATTGGCAAGATCCCTGCCCATGATCCTGATATATCTGACAGACTTAACTACACTTTCATCAGGGGCAATGAGTTAAACCTGCTGCTTTTGGATTCCTCTACTGGAGAGCTCAAGCTAAGCCGGGATCTGGACAACAACAGACCTTTGGAAGCCATCATGGAAGTCTCCGTTTCAGGTAAGGAAATATATTTTGATTCTGGTGGCAATAGATTGGGATGCGTGAGAATTTTGTAACTGGCCCATTATATTGTTATACGCAAATGTGTACTCTGTGAACCATGATTTTTAATTTCCTGAGATGGTGATTTGCTTTGTAAAAAAATTTGGAGGAGAGCCATGGAAACTGTGCTTTGCTCTGGCGTGAACCCGACAGTGGAATTTCACCTATCAAGTTGTGCTCTACAGAAATCTTTTGTATAAGAACAGAAATTGACCTACATGTTTTTATATTCCTTAACTGCTTTGAAGCTGTGGAAGTCTAAACTATTTGAAAGTGAGAATGTCCTTACAGTTAATGAGTTGGATTTTTCAAAGCCAGCCATCACTTTCAAGGCTAGGCTGAAATAATTTTTAAATTAATAGTAAGAGGAAGTTTCTCTGATTTTCCTGTTGATAGAGAAATCCCTGTATCAGGATGAACATAAAAGTTTATGTTTATTTACATACCTTTATTTATGTTGCTGATGTGTAGTATAAAGATCTGCAAAATGTGTACAACTGAAATGAATTTTATGTTCTGAGCAGTGTAAGTCCCTGGATTTGTAAACTGTTTATCCATATGATGATTATTACTAGCAGTACTAGTAAACTAAATTATGAGCACAATATCACTGGCAGGATTACAGTGCAATCCTAAACAGTTATACCCTTCTAAGTCCATTGAAGGTAATGGACATAGCAGGGTGTAACTCTGTTTAGGTTTTTACCATTAGCACCTTTTAAATGTCTATCATCATTTTCTCTAAATTCATCTTAGTAAAAGGGTAATACTCTCAAGGCCAAATTGTGAGCTTGATGATTTTAACATAGCACATTCTAAACAGAAGTGAATCTAAACACATTCACAGTATTAATGAGGCTTGATGTTGTCATTAGGAATAAACTGGTACTTGCAAGAACAGTGTTGGGTCCAAAGTAGAAAAGAAAAAAAGACAGATGAGCAGAGGTCATTTCGGGGGGGAACGCGGGGGAACGCAGTTCCCCCGGGTGAGGTGCAGGGGGCGGGACACATGACGAAGCCCCGCCCCCTGCTTCCGGCCGCCCCGCTTCCAACCCTCATTCAGCCAGGAGGAGGCAGGAGAAGAGGGAGGGTAAGTGGCTTCCTCCCCGCCTCTCCCCACCCCTGCCTGCCTGGGGCCAGGGAGGGCCTTGGCGGGGCTTCCTCGCACTCCCGCTGGCCTTGCAGGTCCACCGCCAGGCCCCTGATGTCAGGGGATGTGGCATATGCTAATGAGTTATGCTAATGAGTTCCCCTAGCTCTTTTTCTACAAAATGACCCCTGCAGATGAGTGTTCACATTTCCAGTTAAGTGGGTCTCTGAAAATATTAGGAAGCAACCTGACTCTGAGACCCAAATTCTGAAAGATTAGCCTTGTTACCTTGAGTCCTGATTTTCATGATCTGAGTACCCATAAAGGGGGAATTGCGCTATGAATCCTCCTGATAAACTTTGTCACCATTTTGTATGAATAGAGAAATGTACCATATTTTCCAGCTTTGGTACAGATGACCAGAAACCCAAATTCAGAAGGGTAGGTGTTTGCATGAACCAAACCTGGAGTATATTTTGGTGAACATGTGTTTCAAGAGGATTGTGGGTAGTGTGCTCTTCCATTACACAAAGATCGAGTGCCAAATTCATAACAACTGAACAGGGCACTAGTGTAACCAAAAACAAAACAGAAACTTATCATCCAGTTCAATGGCACTTAGTGTTCTGAGGGGATGAAATCAGTTAAACATGTTTTTTGTATCTTTAATTTCATGTGTTTAACACTTTCGTGTTAAATTCAGCGGGCTTCACTTATTGGCAAATGTATATTGGCATCAACTGCAGCACCAACTGTTTCATTGGATACTTTTGTTTCAGATGCTTTTATCAGTTTGGGAATATAATCTGAAATTATTTTTAATGGTTCTGACCAGTTGAGTTTAAGTGCTGTTTTATCATTGTTAGCTAATAAATATGAGCATAAACTTAATTTAAAAAAAGATCCAAAGTTGGTGTGAGGGTACTAAAGAATAGTATACCTCTGATTACCAGGGACTAAAGACAAATGTTGTCTTTGTGCACTGCTTGTTGTGAGTTATGCAAGAATGCTTCACTTGCTTCTGTCAGGACAGAGTGGTGTACTTAACAGGACCTTCCTATGAAGAGCTACTATTGTCTAAGCCTGTTGATTTCAGTGGCTTTAAACTGGTGTAATTCTGTATAGAACTGGACTGTAAATGGACTTCTGGTTTGACTCAGTAAGCAGGTGTTTGGCATTTTTTTCTTGCATTTATTCTAAAATACCTTTAGAGGCAGCATGCAAATCCACACAAATATTGTGGATGAAATTAAGAAGCAAATCTCAGCTAGAGCTAGATATTATTAAAAGCACAGATAAACAGGAGAGGCTTGAGTGAGTACCCAAAACATGTCTGTTCAGAAGCCCCATGTTATTCAGTGGGGGCTTACTCCAGGGGTCATTTCGTAGAAAAAGAGCTAGGGGAACTCATTAGCATAACTCATTAGCATATGCCACACCCCCTGACATCAGGGGCCCGGCGGTGGACCTGCAAGGCCAGCGGGAGTGCGAGGAAGCCCCGCCAAGGCCCTCCCTGGCCCCAGGCAGGCAGGGGTGGGGAGAGGCGGGGAGGAAGCAACTTACCCTCCCTCTTCTCCTGCCTCCTCCTGGCTGAATGAGGGCTGGAAGCGGGGCAGCTGGAAGCTAGGGGCGGGGCTTCGTTATGTGCCCCGCCCCCCTGTACCTCACCCGGGTGAACTGTGTTCCCCCACGTTCCCCCCCGAAATGACCTCTGGCTTACTCTAAAGAAAGGATCTTTAGGATTGCAGCTTTAAAAATTGCATCCAGAAAATGTGAAAGGGGAGGAGATTGCATGATATAGGTGTTACAATCAAGGTTTTTGTTTATAGGAGCCCATATTCTAGGGCTGGTGAATATTTTGTTGTGTTAATAAGGTATTGTGTCCTTAGATGATTTAAGTGGCTTTGATTCAATGTTGACAAATTGTAAATTGTTACAATTCAGTATTTTGAATAACCTGTAAAACCCGTCCTGGAAAAGACCTTGCTCATTATGCTGGGCTTCCTGTTAAACTGAAGTGTACTGTTTTTGTTTTTAAAATCCTTTTAAGTATGGCTTATACTGTGCATCAATAATGCAGTGGCTTGCCTTCTGTGGACTCCGTCTGCCGTCTTTTATGGCAAGGTCTCTTGAGCAGCTGTGACTCTTGCTGACATTTTTCAGGTCCATTGTGAGCAATATCTTGTTAGTGATGCTTTTCGCTCTTGGTAGCCTTTTCACTTTTGTGGGAAGCGGCTTCAGTGTGTGTAATAACATTTTAGAAGGTTGTTCTTCTATGGCTATTTTGCACAGGAAAGGTACAAAATTAGCCTGATTTCCTCAGCAGCTTATTAGGACGTAACACTTTACAAGTGAATGGTCACAGTGTGATCAAAGGCATGTTGCAGTGGGAATGAGTGATTCCCATCATATTTGCAGGGGCACAGAGAAAGTGGTGCCAGTCCCCGTGACTGAAATTATTACCATGATTCATTTGACAATCAACTTAGATTTCATGCAGAACTGTAGAAGCAAGTACTTGTGGTTAGTGTGTAATTGCTACTTCCACTTTGCTTTAAGACTTCCAGAGATAATACCCCAGTTGTTTTATTTTCCAGGCTTGTCACGGCTTGCACGATACCTGTGGTCATTCTCAGCTTTACTTGTCTGATAAAGAACACAGCTTCTTATCTAACATCACAAGATAAAGAACTAACAGTCAGTACTAAATAGGATAGTAAAGCACAGGTAGAGATTGCTTGAAAGTGTTGTCTCTTCACTGCAGTAATTGTGCACATTTCAGTGATGTCACAGTACATACTGTCATCAAAAGAAAGCTAGGCATGCTGAAATCCAAAGACATTGTAAGCAAAGCTATATCATTGGATTTATGTATTGAAGACTCATTGATTCTTCTGTATGGTGCCCAGAGACTTTCCCTATCGATGTGAAGATGAAACAACATACTGAGACAAAGTTAAGTCCACTTCAAATATGGCAACTTTTCTGTGGAAAGCCCTCCCATGTAAGATGTAATATGCAACCATGTTCACCTGTGACAAATGCAAGAATAATTTGCTATGTGTATGTATCCTGGAAAAACGGCCTTAATAACAATTTCACAGTGGAATTGATTTTTCACCACAATCCTAAACAGAGTTACACTCTTCTGAGTCCATTTAAATCAATGGACTTAGTGTGTAACTCTGCTGGAGGTTGCACTGTATGAGAAATATGCATATATGTGCACGTTTGATCATTTTTTTGTGATCAGAAAAATCATAAGATTATCTACTAAGTGCATCTACCAAGCCTTTCTAATGTCCTCAGAGTACTGTTTTGATTGTATCAGGGAAATTAGATATTGTATTGATCATTGAGCATATTTAAATACTTACACAGCTTGGACCATTGGGTACTTAGTGCAACTTCTTCTTCTTCTTCTTCTTCTTATTATTATTATTTGGCCATCAAGTCACAATTGACTTATGGCAACCCTGTAGGCTTTCAAGGCAAGAGCTGTTCAGAGATGATTTCTTGGCTCCATGTCACAACCCTGGTATTCCTTGTTGGGCAGTCTCCCATCCAAATACTAGCCAGGGTCGATCCTGCTTAGCTTCTGATACGTGATAAGATCAGGCTAGCCTAAGCCATCCAGGTCAGGGCTGTGACTACTTAATATGTCACTGCAAACTTTAAGAGTTAAGTGAATATTGCAAGAAAATGTTAAATTTCAGTATAAGTTTAATTGTAGCCCAGTTAGTGAGTTGTAAAAATGTCAGGGATGGAATTATTTTTGGGTTTTGGCAAAAGCATCAAACATGTGATAGTGTTGAAACTGAATAAGCTTAATAACATGGATGAGGCTTTCATTGGCTATTGGATCTGAAGCATTGTTAAGCAGAACTTGCCCAATACTAAAAAGGTAAAGAAATACAATTTCATTACAAAAAGAGCAACATATGCCTAGAATTATTATAGTAATTAAAAAGTAGACAATTTAGGTGGAAGTTATGAAAGGAATATTAAAAAAAAACCAGGCATCACTGGAGTTAAAATAACTAATTAAAATTACAAGTCATTGAGATTCTTTTATTTCAGCATTTTGCTTTGTTGCCCTTGATTTCAAAGGCTGTGAATAACCATTATGTAAGAGAGACCAAACAGCTGTTGACTGAAATGTGTGGTAGTTGATCTAGTGAAGTTTTGGGAAATGTTACTGGGAGTGATAAATGTTAAGCATTATATTGCTACCTGTTCCTCTCTTATGCCTTTTGAATTATGCATAGAGCATATAAATGATTGTTCGGTTTGATTTTAAATCTGTGAGGATAATTTACACTCTGGAAAGCTAAAAGTGCATCAAATAAAAAGGAACGGATATGAGAAATCGCCCAGAAAAACCCAGGATTAGATCCATTAATGCAAAGAGTTTTGATGTTGCAGAACAGGCTGCCTGCACTGGAGGAGGGTTCCACAATTAACATAACAGGTTACTAGAATTCATCCCAGTATTTCCATATGTGCCCTGTAGAGCTTTATGCTCAGCAGAGCAACATCTACTGGCAGTTCCCAGCCCCAAAGACGTCTGCCTGGCCTCAACTAGGGCCAGGGCCTTCTCCGCCCTGGCCCTAGCCTGGTGGAACATACTCCTGATTGAAATCAATACTCCCTCTAAGCTGTGGAGTCTTGTGAGCAAAAATTCTACTTTGTGAGTTACTGGCATTAAAGTTGTGAGTGAGCAATTTGGCTACTGCATAAATTAGAAATCCTTCCTGGACTAAGACAAAAATCTGTGAGCTGGAGGCTAAAAAACTGTGAGCTAGCTCACACTAACTCAGTTTAGAGGGAACACGGATTGAAATCAGGGCCCTGTGGGACTTATTACAGTTCCACAGGGCCTGTAAAATGGAGTTGTTCCACCAGGCTTTCAGCTAACTGGTGGGCGACCGCTCCTTCTGGCTCTTCCTACCCAAACTGCCCTCATACTCGTTCGATGGTGTAGAGGGCAATGGTTTCCATCAGTAGTAACCGGACTACTATTACATTTCTGCCCGCCTGCCCTTCAATGCAAGGAGCACAGTGGATTATTATTGTCTGCCATCTGTTTTAAAATTAGATTCTAAATTTTTTATGTTTTATGTTTATGGTTTTATTGTTCATATTCCTGTTGTGACCTGCCCTGAGCCTGCTTGCAGGGAGGGCAGGATAGAAATCAAATAAATAAATACATACATACATACGTACGTACATACATAAGATCTTGTGAGAAATTAAACACTTTCCTAATCTATAGTAGGTGTTTTTTCTTTTAAAAATGTCCTAAAATTCCTTCTTGCAATGAAAACAACTGCAGCTGAATTGCAGGGTTATAGTTCATCATGCTGAATGAGAGATGATAGCAAGTTAGCACAAACACTGGCTTAATCTGCTGTAATAGTACAGACGCACAATAAATGCTA